GGTGGGCAGAGCACAGATAGTCCATTGTGTAGCTTTGTGCATAAATTCAAACAAACAAACATAACTTTTCCAAATCCTGGATAAAACAGTTCTTCTGATTAAGCGTAAACTAGCTTTATAGCGAATTAGTCCAGGCGTGGGATAGTAATTAACAAGTCGAGTTGCGGATCGAAAAATCCGGAGTTCGAGAAGTAATACTGCTAAACATTTTCGTTCCTTCAGTTGTTGTAAAAGTGGTAGTCAATCCCATTATTTGGTTCAAAAAGATGAAGAATGGATATCCTATATTAATTCAGTTTTTTGGTTTGTGTGTTTTATGTCCAGTTAATTTCTTTAACGATTCTGGAGGTAGTAGAACCAAACTTGGCTGGCGGATTCGAGTTGGCCCGGGGGTGTCCTTATCTATAAGGTGTATTCCCCGTAAGCTCATCCAGACATAATGGGAGACTATGAGAAAGTTTCCAGGATCACTTAACCCAAATCTGGTATCGAATTTTTTGTTTTTGGTCACCTCTGGGATCTCGGGGGCGTCATGTTTAAAACTGTGCTCACATACACACTCGCAAGCTAATGGGATCAAACTTGAAACACGTTGTCAGGTATCACGAGCAAATGTCCTAACTTTTTTCAGAAACCTTTTGATATAAAAGTAATTGGGGTTATTGGAAGAGCCTCATTGGTACATTGGGGCCTCTGTCAACCACGAGGGGGCCATTGAAACCTACAACCGAGCTCTGATATTTTATGCTAATATTGTATAAATAAGCTTTTAAGAACAATAGCAAGTGTGTAATTTGTAAGCCCACATGAAGGTAATGAACAAATACATTATCATGCTCACGTTGTACTAGATATGCGATTTTTATTCTTCAATTAGCAGGGTTTGTTGTACTTAGCATGATCGAATTGTGAATCAGAGAGCTCCTGTTGCCACAAAAATGTGCTTTGCACTTTGAGCCCGTGGGTGCGTTATAGGAGTGGCGGGCAAATCTTTCTATTTTTTAGACAAAAGAAACCCAAGAGTTTGGTGCTATTTACTAGCATTCATCCTTTTAGTCTATCAGTTCAAAATTAGGGATGGCTATGTGCAAGTAGCCCTTGTGTAGCTGTTCTCAAAAATTTTAAAACAAATATTCTCTTATTATTTTATATATATAAAATATTTTTAAATTTATTCCTATTTTAAGTTTAATTTACTTTATTTTAAAAACTTCGTTTTCTAGATCGACCATGTGAGAAGCTTTGGACATTTGAACGAGTGCCTGGTTATGAACTTCAAGAACCACCAGAACGAGAAATCCCAAATGTTAATAGAAGAAAAGATTGTGAGGATTTCTGCTTAAACGAAAAACAATTCTTGTGTCGCTCTGCTACATACTTTTATCAGAATCGTGATTGTCGACTGTTTTCCGAAACTCGTCGAACACGGCCGAAGTCTTTCTTACGAGCATCAGGTGTAGTCGACTACCTTGAAAACCAATGCGCACCAGGTGAAAAAGAAAGTTTGATGTGTTATCTTAATATATATATAGCATAAAAAACATGGGTTTCATAGAGGTAGCTAAAACATGTTATTTTAAATACACAAACTCACTCGATTAGAAGTTATTAATTTCGCAAAAATATATTTTATGCATATTTATCAAACCATGTATGAAAGTATTTTATAATTAACTGTGTTGACATATTTTCGACCAAAATTAATTAGTAATATTTAAAGATTATTTAAATAAGTCAGATATCAAGAGGTAGGTGGCTCTCGATACCATGAACTCATTGGAAGCTTTTCAACTTTTAGAACCTTCCACATGTCAATATCGAGATTTCCTGGATCGATTCTTACCGAAGATAGATCGACTGTTGAGAGCATTCTCTTTACCCGAATGCCAAAGTCGTTGTGACGAAGAACGTGGATTCACGTGCCGAGCAGTAAACTTCGAGACTGTTACTCGAGACTGCGCACTTTGTAGTGATGATTCCAAGGCTTTAGTAGATGGACAAAACAATTTGCAGTTTCGTCGAAATTCGGTATTCAGCGAGAAAGGAACGTGTGAGCAAGGTATATTGCAGCTATTTTTAAGCCTTATTTCATCAGTCGTACTCGTGTTAATTCTGTCTTTTAGTGTGATTATAAGGTTTTCTAATTCTCGTATTGTTTAGGATTATGAAGCTTTTTTACTTTTACATCCTAATTAAAAATTAATTTTGTAACACTAACTACTGTTTTCTTCGACATCTCTATTGCCATAGAAGTTGTTTTTTCAATATCTTGTAAAACGTCATATAGAACCTGAGTATGAGGTAAAAAAGAAAGAAAAAAAGGGGGGGGCAAGCCATGAATTCGAAAAACGTAAGAGTCAAATTTTATTGGTTCACAGACTGGTTAGCGTCACAGCTTTCAACCCATAATTAGAGTACCGAAATTATCAGCGACATTACATTCCATGGGAACGAGTTGAGAAATTTTGGAATCATTGCCAGGTTTTATATTTATTGTTCCTATGAATGTTTATATGAATGTTGCGGTTGACAACATAAAACTATTACAAGTTTCGTGGAAGCAGACTGTTTTAGTTCTCTTCATTTCTTCAAGCAGTTAAACATGACAGAATCTTGTGAATTAACTTTGAATGAATAAAGCTATCCAAGTGAGCTTACAACTTATGTTAGTTTGTGAACTGTGATACACACTTGATGCATAACTGCATTCTCAATTGTGTAAAGAAAGAGTAGCTTGAACTCATGCTCAGCTATGAATATTTACTATTAAAATACTAAAAAACAAAATACCAACATGGTTTAAAAAATGGGAAGTACATTATCAGCGTGATCAGAAATAAATACAGTACACATAGAACGTGATTTTTTTTACTGCAGAAGACATCAATTCAGGTTTAATGTCCCCTTTGCAACTACAGAATCATGTTTTACCTTTAAAACTTGCCAAATTCTTTATTTTTAGATAATCAAAGTGTTTGTTTAGCTGTCATAAGTCTGAACACAAAAACTATCAAGTATTTATTTAAATTTTTTTGTCTTGGTCAATTAATTGAAATAATTTCAAGAACATTTCCAAATGTTCTCTACTCTTGCAGTGAGCGTACAGTGTACTGAACAAGATATGTTGCTCACATTAAACTTCCAATCCCCGTTTAATGGTCGAGTCTACGCCAAAGGTAACCCTACACAATGTTTTGTGGTAGGTCAAGGACAGTCTACACTTCAGTTTGCGATTTCTCTAGGAAGCCGATGTGGAACTCGAAAAGAGGTAAAAAACCATAATAATATCCATTTTATGAAGTACACTAACAGCCCCTAAGGTATGGAAACCATAATAATACACATTTTATGAAGTACACTAACAGCCCCTAAAGTAAGAAAACCGTAATAGTACCCATTTCAGGAAATATACTAACAGCTCCTAAGGGAAGAAAACCATAATAATACCCATTTTATGGAGTACACTAACAGCCCCTAAGGTAAGAAAACCATAATAATACCCATTTCAGGAAATACACTAACAGCCCCTGAGGTAAGAAAACCATAATAATAATACCCATTTCAGGAAGTATACTAACAATTAGTGCTCTGTTTGCAAAGTAAAATATCTGAGTGTTAAAAACTAAAGATTTGCTACTTCTGTAAGTAACAAATTTAATTAAGGTATCATTTAAGGAAACAAAACTATATAAACAACAATATTAGATAATGTTGAAAAAAAACTATATAAACAACAATGTTAGATAATGTTGAAACAAAAACTATATAAACAACAATGTTAGATAATGTTGAAACAAAACTATATAAACAACAATGTTAGATAATGTTGAAACAAAACTATATAAACAACAATGTTAGATAATGTTCCCCTTTCGTCTTTCTTTTGTTATTAAATCCATAATGACTTCATTAAATGCTAATTGCATACCCTGCCTTGTGGAAGATAATAATTGATTCCTTTAACTGATTAAATATTTGTATTTTTAAATTGAAAGTCAAAAGTCTATTTTAAGAAAGTGAAAATGTGCCCATTTGAGAGTATTTTATCCCTCTCATCGGGCAAAATTCCTAAAACAGAATAGTCCATGTACACCATCGTACAGTTTCCATTTTCCATTTTTTGTTAAATTACGGTAATCGAGCCAGCCAATTGTGGTTTATGAAATCCAAAAGTCTATAAAAAAGTGGAAATGTGCTCTGTTTCAGGGCTGTTGTTGTTTTTTTTTATCTTCCTTTTCAGGCAAAAATTCTAAATCAACACAGCCAGTGCACACAGGCGGACAGTTTCCGGTTACCTTACAGAAAGTTATGGTAATTGAGCCAGCCAACTATGGATGATGCAAGCTGAAATGGGCCTTAATTCAGGGTTTTTTAACATCTCCCTTCTTGGGCAGAAATCCTTAAACAAAATTGTGATTGTACACCGTCGGATAATTTCCAGTTACAATGCTAAACAATACGGTATTGGATTATCCTTATAGTAAGATAATATAAGCTCAAGGAAAGCGATAATTTGAAAGAACACAAACAATTCTTACCGAATAAACTTTGCAACAATGTGATGTCGCATGGCTCATCCTCACCAAAGATACCATGCTGTTTTCAAATGCTAAGATGATATAATGACATCAACGCCCGTTTGATGCTAAAAAAATGTTTCGTAGATAAAAGGTAAAACAAGCTATTTAGAAATTTATTTGGAAGTACGCGTAATACCAATATCGGAATGAAATGTAATCTTAATGTTTCTTCCGCTCTCTTATTTGTATGTGGTTTGGTTAAATACATACATAAACAATTAGTGCATCAGGTTGTAGAAGAAAAATAGCGAAATCTACTCTAATTTTCTTCAGGAATCTTATAGATAGTTGATATTGCACGTGTAAATTAAAGTTCGAAAATCCCTAAAGAAGAAGAAGAAAAATTATCTGGATTTTACATAATTCCGGTTAAGATGTCTTTACTGTAATCATGCATACAGACATACAAACTATAATAATGGCCACCCTGGCAACATTGAGTTCTCTATAGGATGCTCTCTGTTGTGCTTAGTATGATTAACATCAAATACTGGTCTCCCTGTTGTGCTATAAACATCAATAGCACTATCTCTAAAACCTAGTGTTGTAACATCGATTGAACCAAGAGTTTCTTAGCATGTTTTACAAAAAAACTAGTGCATAAAATCCCTATCTGCATAGATAGATAATGTTAATACAGCAGACTAACTCTGACTGTATATTAGATACTTTTACAACAATGCACATGACACGATTGAACAATTACATTATCTCCTGGTCAGGGCCGGCGGATGGGGTTGGGGTGGAGCGCTAAAATGTCGTTACCCAAGCTAATGTCGTCCATTGATATAATTTTAGACTTATTTTACATTTGACTTCATTATAAGTCTCATTGCCCCCTCCCGTTAAGGAAATTTCGAACCCGTGACTGCTCCTGGTCCATCATGTTCAAATGAATGTCCCCCAAAACCCACACATAGCGATTATAGATGTTTGTATATAATTTCATCCTCAAACCTTCAGGATGAAATTATATATTGTACAAATTATAAGATTTTTTTTTTTGCTGGAAAGAAATCAAAATGATATATACGTACAGCTTTTATTCATGAGTCATTGTGCAATAGAATGCATTGTGGCAGTTGACTAACGGATTGATTTGTTATGGTCACCTCCACCAAACAGAGTACCACACTTAGAGAGTTATATCAAAGCAGTAGAAAATGACATAATACAGACCTTAAAATCTTCCAAACAATGTCCTAATAATACTAACCAAAATGAAAGAAGTGCTTTAAACAATCTTAAAGCGAACAACAATATCATAATTGCAGACAAGGGTGGAGCTATTGTTATTCTTAACAAAGATGACTATATTATGGAAGCTAACCGGCAACTAGAAGACACTAATTTCTACAGGACACTCTCACATGATCCTACAACACAGTTTATTAACACCATAACCGATAAGCTTAAAGAACTCCTTCAAAACTGTAAAATTAACAAAGAGACCTTTCAGTATTTGATACCCAGACAAACTTTTCCTGGTAGATTTTATCTCTCACCTAAAACACAAAAACCAAACAATCCTGGCCGACCCATAATTTCTAATATAAACATGGCTACTGATGAAAAGCTGTCTGCTTTTGTTGACCAACACATAAAATGTATTCCCTGTACCCCCCCCCCTTACACAAAGGATACTACTCACTTTCTTAACATCATAGAAGATATTAATACTAATGGACAGTTACCACCCAACAGTCTTCTTTGCACGATGTATGTTTCTTCCCTTTACACCAATATTCCACATGATGAAGGACTAACATCATAGAAGATATTAATACTAACGGACAGTTACCACCCAACAGTCTTCTTTTCACGATGGATGTTTCTTCCCTTTACACCAGTATTCCACATGAAGAAGGACTACAAACTCTAAAGTCCGCGTTAAATCCTTCTAACCAATCAGAATCTTAAATAGTAACTGATCTTGCCAGCCTGGTTTTAACTGTGAACAACTTCGAATTCAATAACGAACATTACATTCAGGTTAACGGTACTGTAATGGGTACCAAAATGGCTCCCAGTTATGCTAACATTTTTATGGGTCACATTGAATACCAGCTTTTTACAACTAAGCCCTCTAAAACCTCATACATGGATACGTTACATAGACGACATATTTTTCATTTGGACAGCCGGTCTTAAATCACTTAAATAATTTATCTCACATGCAAACTCCTTTTACAAAACAATCAAGTTTACCTGTGATTACTCGCGTACCCAGATTAACTTTATTGACGTCACTGTTTTTCTAAAAGACGGAACTTTTACACACTATTTGTACAAAAAAACCTACAGATAGACCACAATACCTTCACTATAAATGCTGTCATCCATCTCACACTAAACGAAACATTACCCACAATCAAGCTCTTAGAATAAAGAAAATATGCTCAGATGAAACAGATTACAGAAAACACACCAAGGGTCTAAAACAAACCATGTTACAAAGAGGATATAAATATACCGAAATCGACAGACAAATTGGAAAGGTTAACAACATTCAGCGGAAAAACATCCTAAATCAGAGCAATAGTAAACTTTCAAATATAATTCCTCTTATTATTACCTATCAGTTTAAACTCAGAAACGTTTCGCAATTTCTGAAAAAAACATTTTCATCTCCTACAGCTCAATGATCGTCTTAAACAGATATTTCCTGAAGTTCACATTGTCTCATTCCGAAAAAGCAGAACTCTAAAAGATATCATTGTTCACACAAAAGTGAATTACATCCCACCCAAAAACGTTTGTCGTCCATGTAATAAAGCCCGTTGTCAAACCTGCAAGTTCATAAAAACCATTGAGTCATTTTCTGACAAGCACAATCAAAGAAACTTTAAAATATCCAAAGAAATCACTTGTGAAACAAAAAATACCATTTATTTTATACAGTGTAAAAATGCAATTACCAATATGTAGGACAAACAACACTTAGAGAACGTTTCAACAACCATAAATCTTCTATTTGCACCGAAAAATACCTCCCTGTTGCTCAACACTTTAAACAACCCGGTCATTCCATCAATGATGTTACTCTCATCGGCATTGAAACAAGATTCAAAACTAAAGCAGATGGAGAAATAAAAGAAGCTTATTGGATTGCTAATCTAAACACTGTTCAACCTTTCTGAATTAGTCTAGATCCTGGAATCAGTGATCTTCGTTCATTAGTTTCATCTCTGTCAGAAAAATAATTTTTATTCTTTGCTTATTTTTTTCATGTAATGTGAACGCTGAATTTCCCAAAATATACTATTTATTTAAGATAATTTTCCATACCTGTTTTTATAAATTGAATATCATAACATATCATTTTCAATTAGTCTTCAGGTGTCACCTTTATTTTACTTAAACACTTAAGTATAGTTTTAAATACACATATATTTATTCATTTCTAAAGTAAAATATTCCTAACACCTTTTCACATACACTCGCCATCGGCTACACTGTACCGGAAATGAGATGCTTAAAACAGTACATAGAGAAATAGACTAAACATTTCGGAGCCCCCCAGTGGCACAGCGGTATGTCTGCGAATTTACAACGCTAGAATCCGGGTTTCGATACCCGTGGTGAGCAGAGCACAGATATCCCATTGTGTAGCTTTGTGCTTAATTACAAACAAACAAACAAATATTTCGGCCCGGCATGGCCAGGTGGTTAGGGCTCGCAATCTGAGGGTCGCGGGTTCGAATCCCTGTCACACCAAACATGCTCGCCCTTTCAGCCGTGAGGGCGTTATAATGTGACGGTCAATCCCAATTTATTGGTAAAATAGTAGCCCAAGAGTTGGCGGTAGGTGGTGATGACTAGCTGCCTTCCCTCTAGTCTTACACTGCTAAATTAGGGACGGCTAGCGCAGATAGTCCTGTGTAGCTAACCATGCCAGTCCGGGTAGTTAGTAAATGAGATGTGGTTATTTATTTGATATGCATGTATATCTTTGAGGCTATAATTTCTGCAGTAGAGAGAAAGAAATAATCGTAAATGTCAGTGATATAAATCCGAAATATCTTGCATTTAAATCACTTAAATATTATTATAGAACAAATTATTTTCAGTATGGTATAGAAAGTTTTTATAAGCTGTTTTTTGTAAATATTAATTTTGTGGTCGATTACCTATACTCCTATCATAGGAGAGTACCTTGTGCTGGCTGAAATTTAAATGATTAAGAATGTGAAAGAATTAAAAATCGAGAGAGAGTTGTATATATATTTTTCAATTTAGGAATTAAAAGTTTATGCAAACGAAGTGGTGGTCCAGCAACATCCAATCATCGTCATGGATACAGATAAGACCATCCGTGTTGTTTGTTCATTTGAGACAGGAGAACGAACCGTTACTATGGATGTGTTTGGTCGAAACGGAGAGAAAGGAATGGAAGTTACGTAAGGAAACATGCTTGTCTTTATTTAGTTGAACAAAAGTTTTATGGTTTGCCTGCTATAATTTACACAGATAACTATATTTAATTTGTTGCTGTATGCAGTGTTCAGTTTATTAGTGTCAAAACATCAAATTGGCGATTAATGTTATACATGGATAATAGTAATCAATTCATAATTATTTCGTGTTATTCAGATAAGGTATAAAAGTCGTAGCTTTAATAACATCTACAAGAACTTTTAATTTAAAAAATAATCTGCAATTACATTGACATTTTCAGGACACGTCGACCTTCCATTTCTTCTATTGTGACAAACACTGCACCTCCACCTAACGTCGCAATGAGGATATTAGACCCATCAGGAAGAGACGCTCATGTCGTGGGTCTTGGAGATGAGATTGAATTACGAATTGATTTGACAGACCCATCAAGTACGTGAACTGATTTGTGATCAAGCTTTCAAGAAAATGGGCATATTCAACTAAAATGTACTCCAAAATGAGTACTTTTTTTGAGAAAAAGAGAATGGAGAATTACTATTACAACAAACAAAGATTTATTTTTTTCTTTAACTTGGTAACAAATACGTACACGAACAATCGTATATGTCAGAGTAAATGTTCATATGAGATGTTATACAAACGAAATTGTTGAATCAAAACATTTAAATGGTTCGGAGGGCAGAGTGGGCATTCTTACGTTATAACTGAATGAGTTTCATTTAATGTCCTGTTCAGAATTTTACGAAACTTCTTTTCAGAATGATAACAATGTGTGTTCTTAGGTTTATACATTGAAAACTAATTTCGTGGATTTTTTTTTCTCTATATATTTTAGCTGCTTTTGCGATATTTGCTCGAAATCTTTACGCTCGGAGCTCCAATGGAGAATCATTGTTCCTTATTGACAGTAACGGGTAAGTGTCGATTACCTTTCTATTTTGGTAATTAAGTGCATCATCCCTAACACACAGTCATCGTTTCACAAATTGTGCAGTTTAAGAAAGACTAAGAACTTTTTTTTTATCCTCTAGCTGTCCAACTGACCCCACAATCTTCCCGGCCCTTCAGCTGAATTTGAGAGACCAGAAGTCACTCATCGGAAAATTTAAGGCCTTCCGATTTCCGTCCACTGGGCGAGTCAACTTTGAAGTCCAGATACGTTTCTGTCAGGACCGGTGTGATCCAGTTAGTCATATATTTACTTAACTTGATATTCAGCTATTCTTAACGTTATAATAAAATACCTGTCAAGACCGATGTGACCTAGTAGGCTAATGTTTCTACTTACCTCGATTTACTTATATTTGATTTAAGTCATTGATTGTTTGTTAGTTTTTGGAATTTCGCTCAAAGCTACACGAGGGCTATCTGCGCTAGCCGTCCCTAATTTAGCAGTGTAAGACTAGCCACCCACCGCCAACTCTTGGGCTACTCTTTTACCAACGAATAGTGGGATTGACCGTCACATTATAACGCCCCCACGGCTGAAAGGGCGAGCATGTTTGGTGGGATGCGGATTCGAACCCGCGACCCTCAGATTGTGAGTCGAGCGCCTTATCCACCTGGCCATGCCGGGCACTAAGTCATTGATACTGAGATGATTATAAGACATTATTAAATGTTTGCCATTCTGTAAAATATTATTATTTCCATTCTTTATAAATAATGTGAATAGAATACGAACTGAAATACAACAATAGATATAAAATACGCATCCTTTGATATTATATAAACATTTACGATATGCTAACATCCCGTAATCTTAACACCATAAATGAATTATAATATTTGATTTAAAAAAAGCAAAATTTAAATAGAATTATGAAAATCACTTTCATTACAGTCGTAAAGTATAAGCTTTTCAAAATAGGTATATCTTTTTTTACATGTTTTACTTGTTACTGTGACTAAGCAGATTTCTTCGTTCGTACATGTGTTGTGCCTAATTATATTTCTTATGGTCATGTAATGGAACGAGGATACCCGGCTGATGACCTAGAACAGAGTGGTTATAGGAGCTTTTTGCAGTTTGCCTTTTTTCTCATACTTGAGATTATTTATTATTGACTGTAATTGTTATTGTATAATTTTATCAGGTTTTAGTAGGTTCGATTCCCCGCGGTGGATAGAGTGCAGATAGCTCATTGTGTAGCTTTGCGCTAAGAAAACAACAACAAAGTTAGTTCAACATGAAATGTTCTTTAGAGTCTTTACCATTATTAATTCTGCTTGCAAAGATTAAAGTTGCAGTTTTAGTCTGACTATAGTTTAATTTTAATTCATTCATAGATATTTAACGTTTTATCCTCAGGTGCGCTGTGCTAACAACGTCCAGTCGTACGGTAGACGAAAACGTGATACAATGGAACTCGTGCTTGAGTCCGATTCCTCATCATCTAATGGATCTTCAGTTGATTCTTCTGATGTTAGTGGTCATGTGTCTCAGCCTGAGCTTGGACCAAATGAATATCCTGTAATGATCCCACAGAGTGCTGTGATCGAAACTACAGAACAAAAACTGGAGCCACGTGACTCCTTAAATGGAAACGAGACAACAACAACAATGTCTTCCAGATTAATTCTTCAGGCCACAAACCCGCCAACTGTGAAACCCTCATCTGTAATGTTAAACAAAAATCCTGTGAGCTATACAACCATAAATTATGACAAACTTTCAGGTTATCCCCAAAATGATAATATTTTGAACAGCCATTATAATCGTTCAATATATCCTCAAAGTCAGTCAGCATATAATAATACCTATGAACAGGGTAGTCTATCGAAAAAGAATGGTATGCGTTCAGATTTATCTCAAAATGAATCAACATATGAGAATCTGTCGAGCAAGAATGATAATCGTTCAGGCTATTCTCAAGGTGAGTCAGCATATGGTAGTGCTTATAGGCAACAATACGAACAAAGCAGTCTACCGAATAAAAGTGATAATCGGTCCAGTTACTCTCAAAGGCAATCGGCATATGATAATATGTATGGGCAACAATACGGACAAGATCATTTATCGAAAAAGGGTGATAATCATTCGGGCTATTCTCAAAGTGAGTCGACATATGACAGTGCTTCTGGGCAACAATATGGACCAGGCAGTGTGTCGAACAAAGGTGGTAATCGTTCAAGCTATTCTCAAAGTGAATCAACATATGATAGTGCCTATGGGCAACAACATGGACAAGGCAGTGTGTCGAACAAAGGTGGTAATCGGCCAAGTTACTCTCAAAGTGAATCAACATATGATAGTGCCTATGGTCAACAAAATGGACAAGGCAGTGTATCGACCAAGGGTAGTAATCGGCCAAGTTACTCTCAAAGTGAATCAACATATGATAATACCTCTGGGCAAGAACATGGACAAGATCATCTGTACTACAATGACAACAATCGTTCCGGTTATCCTCAAAGCGAATTAACATATCGTAATACCTATGGACATCAATATGGACAAGAGAGTATCCCACAGGATAATGATAAGCATTCGGGTTACCCTCAACACGAGTCTTCAAACAATCGACCATATAGTTCACCGTATGGGATTAATGCAGGAGGACGACAAGATGACAAGCTAGGAAGTCAACAAGATCCTCGACCGGATCAAGAAATCTACAGTGAGTACCGAGGTAACAGCAAGAGGGACGACTACCCTTATGGGCAAAACAATCCCTACCCTAACAATAATGATATGTCTGCGAATTGGAATGATGTTGACCAGTTTGGAGTTGGTCAGGGGCTGCAAAGAGATGGTCCACAATTTCAAAATGGATCTCCAACTAAAGATATAGTGGCAACGACACAAAAGCCAGTGCCTCAAGAAGTTCCCCTTTCTCTGGCCATAATGGTAGGAGAAGATCCAGAGCCTCAAGAACCATGGAGCCACACGCGTTATGCTGAACCATCCGGTTAGTTACATGAATAGTTTATAACTTATATGAATTAAAGAGTAGTAAACAATTAATTAAAAAACAAAACATCTGTGGGGTTTGGAGATAATAAATGGCAACTGTATATCGAAAAGTTGCAAGTGACATTAAATAAGGCTGCACTGTATTAAATAGTACCAGAAAATGCAGTTATATCAGTTTATAATAACTACTTGTTATATTTAAGATTTTTTAGCATTTTCAAAATTACCAAGAACATTATTTATTTTTGCACTCTTTCCTGCGCAGAAAACCTTCATTTGCAAAATCATCTCTGACATCCACAGATGTATGGAAACATGTGATGATTAAAATAACGAAAAAATTATCTTTAATTAACACATAAGGTTGAAAAAAACACTGAAGTAGCAATATTTACTGCAGTAATTGTGTTCTTATTATGACTTATTATCAATAATTTAGCCTACAAATCCTGTCATTTATAATGCGACATAAGATTAAAAAACACAATAACGACAGAAATCAAACTAACAAAACACTCGTGGAGTCAAAAACAAGAGGGAATCTTCAAAGATTCGGGGGCCGTAATTACATCTCAAATCGGTCAAGAGATGGAACTATGAGCTAAGAGTTTGAAAAAAACACTCAGAGCCATTGTATGAGCCGCTATGCCGCGGCTAAAAATTGTTAAATGTGTATTTGTACATAAGGAGTATATTGTATTAGCATAAATACTTTAAGAAGAGAACGACTGTAGCGCGGTCTCCTGAAGAGCGTGATAAATAAACGTTAAGTATATTGAACGTGACGTAAAAAAAATATATTTTTAATTAAGAATCATTTTAATGTATATGTAGATATTAACTGAGTCTTATTTATTTTGATTTTTTCACGCTTGGCAGAAAAGGAATCAAATATGGTCTGCACCTCTCAGTCCACGATCATAGCTACTGCTGTCACATTATCGCTCTTACACTTAGGCCTACTTGTTGGAGGTTACTGCTATTACCGCTGGCACAGGAAGAACAAACGGAAGAAGCAATTGGACGATCAACTTCCTTTTCCGGTACCGAACACCACAAGTCCCCCACAGGTCGTCTATGGAAGTGCTGACGTAATGTTCCGTAGTATATATGAAGGATATGATGCTTCGCCATGATAAATAAGAGACAATACACATCATACTAAAACGCAGTTGAAGGATATGATCAATGGGTATTGAATGTGAAAGTCAATACAGTAAAAACGGCTATCTATCTTCATTTCTGACTCGCCATTTGGTTTTATGTTTTTTGGAAGCATCGCCTGCTTTGTGTAAATCATTCAAACTGAAAAATTTCTAGCTTGTTTGTAAAATATTTCTAATTATCATACATATTTGGGCTAAAGGTTTTGTATGTATGTGTTGGTGTCGGATTTTATAATTATTGGAATCTCTAAACATAATGTTTAAAAATGGTTTTAAACAGCTTTAGAAATAAATGAGTATATATTTAAATCTGCGCAAGTATTTTTTTAGTGTCTTAATAATATAACAATATTTAACAAATACTTGAACTTTTTTGTTTAGAATATTAAGTGAAGTAAACATAATACATCTTTTGCCTGAGTATAATCTAATGGTTGGTGTATCCGGCTGGGGTATAGTCTAATGGTTGGGGTATCCAGCTGGGGTATAGTTTAATGGTTGGTGTATCCAGCTGGAGTATAGTTTAATGGTTGGTGTATCCGACTAGGGTATAGTCTAATGGTTGGCGTATCCGGCTGGGGTGTAGTCTAATGGTTGGTGTATCCGGCTAGAGTACAATCTAATGGTTGGTGTATCCGACTAGGGTATAGTTTAACGGCTGGTATATCCGGCTGGGCTGTAGTCTAATGGTTGGTATATTCGACTGGGGTATTGTCTAATGGTTGGTGTATCCGACTAGGGTATAGTCTAACGGTTGGTGTATCCGACTAGGGTATTGTCTAATGGTTGATGTATCCGACTAGGGTATAGTCTAACGGTGGGTGTATCCAGCCGGGGTGTATTCTAATGGTTGGTGTATCCGACTAGGGTATTGTCTAATGGTTGGTGTATCCGGCTGGGGTGTAGTCTCATGGTTGATATATCCGAATGGGGGTGTAGTTTAATGGTTGGTGTAATCGACTGGGATGTAGTCTAATGGTTGGTGTATCCGGCTGAGGACTAGGTTTCAAGATGTGATACGACCAAACACGCTTTGTATTTTCAGCTGTGAGTGCGTTTTAAAAATGACAGTTTATCCTACTATTTGGTTAAGAGTAGCTGCTTTATGCGGCGAGTACTTCTAATGGGTTGCCTTTCTTCTGGTCTCCAGTTCAGACAGCTCTACCAGAGCGATTGAGGTCGATGACCTGACCGTTTAGGTCAGTGTATGCATAAAGTGCCATTCATATGAACAATAAAACAAACATCAAGCCGCACTAGCGGTAGTTACAAATTGTAAATGGTTATTCTATATTCAAGAATTTAATACACTAACGTACTGTCACACAGAGAGAAAAAAATCAACACATAGAACTGTGCTCGTACTGCATGTGAAATAAAATCACGGAGAACACAAGTCATCTGTAAGTGTAAGGCCCGGCATGGCCAGGTGGTTAGGGCGCTCGACTCGCAATCTGCAGGTCGCGGATTCGATACACCGTCCCACCAAACATGCTTGCCCTTTCAGCCGTGGGGACGCTATAAAGTGACGGTCAATCCCACTACTCGTGGATAAGAGAGTAGCCCAAGAGTTGGCGGTGGGTGGTGATGACTAGCTGCCTTCCCTCTAGTCTTACACTGCTAAATTAGGGACAGCAGGCGCAGATAGCCTTCGTGTAGCTTTGCGCGAAATTCATAACAAACCAAACCGTAAGTGTTAAAATGATTTTCAGCATCTTACACCTGGTTTATAAAATCTGAAGTATTTTTAGTTTTCTGTACAAGATTAAAGCAGATTTAAAGCCAAAGTATCATGTTCCATCAATTTTTTTTTTCATAAGTCATGAGTAACCAGAATGAAATTCATTTTCTTACAGTGAAAGTTTAATAAATGTAGTTAAATTATAAATCATGGTATAAGAAAATAAAGCAAACAACAGTATTTTAAGGCCCGTTATTTACCAAGAAAAAGTAAATTTAAATCAATTTCTAGCGTCAGTTGCTTACTAAAAGCGTGGAAAAATAGATATTTTGTGATTTGATGTTGTGGTATTCTCAGGTAAACTAATTTCTTACAGGTAAGAAAAGTATCCTTTCTAAGTATAGGGTATGCAGAATGTGTTTTGCAAAGTTCATCCGAATTCTGACTGAATTGAACAAAAAGAGTCTAGTCACATTTTTGCAGATTAAAGAAAAATACCTTATTTATTCAATACACTAAAGAAAGACAAAACAAAATTCGTCAAACATGTGCACAAAACAAAAGAAAAGCGCACTTTTAACTGTCTAGATATCTATGTCAGATAAAAATATGCAAATAATCTGAATAGTCTGAAAGAATCAATGACTCCATGTATATTAAAAAGGGTGGGTTTTCTGAGAGTACATTTGTAATTTACGGAATTTGATAATGTCGTTGGGAAAAAGAAAGATGATATAGTCTATATGATTAATTGTACCAGAAAACACATTAATATAAGTCTAAGGAATTATCCAGTGCCATCTTCTGTTTAGAAATACTAAATGGGGATTGACCCTTGTTTATATGTGACTAGCTGAACTATTGGATCACCCCATTCAAAGCTATAACCTACATGTACTACACGTGCGCTAAAAGCGTCTAAGTGCAAAACATTAGCAAACTTTTGGTGAACAAAAACTGTTTAGTTTCCTAAACTAAAAGACAGTGTCTGGTATGTTTCATATATTACAATGCTTCAATAGCAGTGTGTTACTTTTATCGAAGAACATACCTTTAATAGGCAATAAAACATGCCTAGTTGAATTAAGCTTTAGTTGTTAAAATTACTTTGGATCATTAGTTCTATTACACCTGATTTTTTAGGATTTGTTTTTTTTTAATTACCTAGAATGGTGCGTTTGTTGCAAACAATAATTCAAATTTATGATCAAATTACAATATAATTTCCAGCTAAAATAAGCCTAGTACTGATGCCAATCTTTCCAGAACTTTTACATTGTAAATTTTAGCTACGGTAACATTTATTTATATGGATACAAAAATTATTTTCAATAAACTTCTGATGCTTTAGAGGGGTAGGTGTCTTTTGTCTTAATGAACAAAACCGCGTTTTCTTTAATAATCAAACATTTGAACCTTAGCTTTTTCATGATTAACATGATAGGAAAATAATGTTAAACACAATTGTAGAGTTTGTGCTGCTAAATAGCCGAAAAATCGTGATTTACAAACGTCATATTTATATAATATTGTAGCATTCTAAGGTACACTTTAACCCATCAAGTAAGCTATTAAAACCGCAAAATAGTAGGTTCGTAATATTTGTTAAATAAAGTGTAAGTATGCTTTATTCGACCAAGAAACAAAGGTATTGACCCAAAATGTTTAACAAATAAAAACCTCATTGACAAACAGATGAAATTCCCCTAAAGTTTATGGTCTTCTAATCTGTGTTTGGCTTCTAGAATGCAATATCACTGAACAATCACCAGAATGCCACATCATTCAGATTGTGAGGTAAGTCATTAACAAAAAATAAAGAAGAAGAAGTAGAAAATCAGGGTTTCCAGCTTCTCTACCTCCACATATAATTACAATGCTAGAAAACTCATTAACACTAGCTTAATGAATTACCCAACATGACTGCTAAGTATGAAAAATAGACAAACCTTGGTATAAGTACGTAAACGTGTATGACAATTCCTAAGAGTAGAATAGGTGCAGGTCAAAGACTGGCACATTTTGCTTGTCTAGAAATTGTTACTAGATGCAGAGACCTGAATTTTTGAATAAAGATATATTCATATTCTCTGTTAAGGGTGGTTTAGTTTCCGACTGCATACCATAGCTTTCTTCTCTATTACTTTAGCTGTCCCAACTGCCCTTAATATTAAAGTTAATGTCAAAGCAAGATTTAATCCAAAACCCCAACTAAAGCAATGGTAATGGAATCGTAACCATAAATTCAGGTGACACCAGATGTTATGACAACATGTACCACATACATAAATACATCTTTAATATATGAACCTGAATATAACTCACATCTACACAAAGACTGTCTGCGCTAACCATTCCTACATTTCAAGAGATAGGTTAATAGGAAGGCAGCTTGTCAACACCACCTACCGCCGATTCTTGGGCTACCCTTGTGAGATCAAATAGTTGGATTTGGCCATCACTCATACAATGCACATACGGCCTCATAGTGTGGAATGTGTTGTTTTTTTTCTGGCGATAAAGAGATGTTAACCACAGAATCTGAACCCACAGTCTGGTACATTAACCATTTGATCATGCTCAGCCCACAACAAGTTTTAGATTAATAACTGAAACACAAATGTCACAACATAAGTGAACTAACTAAATGTCAAATAGGAAAATTTAAAGCAAAGAGTAAAACCATACTGTAAAGTTAAGATATCTATAAATAAAATTATGGTTGCATGAAGATAATCAAGCAGAACTGTAATACTAAAACTAATAAAATCTGAGTAAATTATAACACGAGGAAGAATACTTTTGTAGCTTTTACAGATCATTTAAAGTAAGCCCCATCTTTACCTGTTACAAATACTTTTAAAGCTAGAGATCGCAACAAAGCTTCCACTAAATAAATACACAATGAAAATACTGCAAGTACTATATTGGCCCAATTAAAAAGCGATATTTTATTATTAACAATTAGGCTGTAAAATTCATAGACGCCTATAATCACGGCCGACCATAGGCCCCTTCTCCCTACTCTAGCCTGTCGCATTTTTGGAAATCCAGATAGCATCCGTCTACGCATGCATGCCAAATATTCGCTCAAGGTCATCAGTAGTTTTTGCAACTAATCCACCTGCAGGATGTTCAGTTATAATATTGATTTTGTGGACCTAAGAAAAGGTGCTATGACACTCGAGTTTTTTTCTTTCCCATGGTTTCTGAAAATGGAGGTTGCCTTATATTCGAGGCCGCCTTCTATTTGGGGCAATATGGTAATTGACAAATTACACGCAAAATAGTATTCGTAGCTTTTAAATAACACGTTCAAAATGGCACTTGTAACTTTAACTTTTAAATGAACAATGCCATTTGTAATTTGTACATATCATATCATAAATAACCTGCCACTTTTAACTTGAGTAATTCACAGCAAATTTGTTTTACAACCACAGCTTTTAAGATTATATGATCAATTTTAATTAATTATGTAAACATGCACAATTTCTTCAAATACATTTAACAT